GTAAGATTATATTGGGTGGCACAGTGGCTGAGTGGTTAGCACTGCTACCTCACAGCACCAGGGACGGGGGTTCGATTCCACCCTCGGGCGTCTGTGTGCAGTTTGCGCATTCTCCCTGTGTCTCCTTGGGTTTTCTCTGGGTGCTCCGGTTTCCACCCACAGTCCAAAAGTGTGCAGGCTAGGTGGATTGGCCATGCTAAATTGCTCCATAGTATTCAGGGATGTGTAGATTAGGTCAGTTGGAGGGTGATGAGTTTGGGTGGGATGTTCTGAGGGTCAGTGTGGACTTGTGCCAAAAGGCCTGTTTCCACACTGTAGGGATTCTATGGATATGATGGACAGAAAGCTGCTCTTCCCATTAGTCAAAGGGTCAACAGGAAGGGGACAGAATTTTAAAGTGCTGGGTTGGAAGTTTCGAGGGGATTTGAGGGAAAAATGTTTTCATCCAGAGGGAGGTCTGGAATGCAATGCCTGGGAGGGTTGTTGAGGTGGGAAACCTCACAACCTTTTTGACAAAAGTGCTTGGATGAACCACTTGCAGTGTCACAACACTCAGGACAGTCAGCCTAGTGCAGGAAAGTGGGACGAGTGAAGGTGGTGGTATACTTTTCGTGGTACAAATTTACTGGGCCAAACGCCCTCTTCTGTGCTGTATGATTCTCACAGGGCCAGTCATGTCAATTGTGTGTGCACACTTGCACACTGGGACACAGGCATGCATGCACACTCCTCACATGGGGACTGTCGAATGCCCATAGCCAGGCATGCACGCACACACTTCTGTGTGGGCACACAGACACTCACTGACTCCATCGCTGTACCCTGTTTGGGATTGGGCAGGAATTGACTCTGCGCTCTGTTTTCAGGTTGCTCTGTGATATCTGAATATCCTGCAAAGCTCACCGATCATCAGGGATGATCTGCCTACACGTACATGGAGCAGAGAGAAACTCATTCCATGTCATCACTGTCAGAACGGCGAGCACAGTGGGAGGGGTCTGGTGGTGCGGGGCAGAAGAGTGCTGCACCATACAGGCAAAGGTCCTAACAGCAGGGGGGCACTGTCAATTACAGCTTCTGTCCAACAGCCACTTGGAAAGAGCATTGTATATTTATGGAGAATGGATAGCTGGAATCTGGAACGAAAGTACAGTACTGGTCGAGGGCCAATTGTCAAATATGAAGATCTCAATCAGACTCCAATTTTATAACTCACTCCTGAGTATCTGCTATTTTATATAAACCACCTTTGAGCCCCCTCAGTTAGATTCCAGTCTGTAACATCCTCCCCTAGTAAATGTTCTTTTGTGCATAGAGCAGCACAGCCAAGTACAAGACCTTAGGCCCTCCGTGTTTGTGCTGATCGTGACGCCATTCTCAACTAATCCTATATGCCTGCACATGGTCTGTATCTTTCTATTCCCTGCCTGTTCACACGTCTGTCTAAATGCCTCTTAAAACATTGCTGTCTTATTTGCTTCTCCCACTCCCCCTGGATGCAGGTTCTAGGCACCCACCACCCTCTGTGCAAAAACTTTCCCCTCTCACCTTAAACCTGTGCCCTCTATTATTTGTCACTTTCACTTGGAGAAAAGACTCCAAAATGCACCCTATACATGCCTCTCATAATTTGATACACTTCTCTCAGGTTGCCCCTCAGCTTCCGATGCTCCAGTGAAAGCAATCAAGTTTGTTCAACCTGTCCTTTATAGCTAACCCACTCCAATTCAGGCAACATCATCGTAGACTTCTTTTGCGGCCTCTCAAAAACATCCACATCCTTCCTTTGTGTGATGACCAGAACTGCACACAATGTTCCAACTAATCCTCGCTGTTCTGAGAAAAGGTCACTGGACCTGAAATATTCACTCTGATTTCTCTTCACAGGTGCTGCCAGCCTGTTGAGCTTTTCCAGCAACTTCTGGTTTTTTTTGTGCGCAATATTTCAAAATTTTATACAGCTGCCACATGACTTGCCAACTTTTATACTCAATGTCCTGATTGATGAAGGCACCTTATCCACTTGAGTTGCCAATTTCAGAGAGCTGTGGACTTGCTCCACAAGATCCAGTTGTATATCAGTGTCCTGACATTCAGTGTATTTCCTCTTATTTGACCTCCCAAAATGTGCTACCTCACACTTGTCTGAATTGAACTCCATATGCCGTATCTCTGCCCAATTTTCCAACTGGTTTATATCCTGCTGTGTCCTTTGATAACCTTCTGCACTGTCCACAAACCTTGCAAACTTACTAATCAGATCACCTACATTTTCATCCATATATAGTACAAACAGCAGAGGTACCAGCACTGAGCCTCATGTAATTCCGCTAGTCACGGGCGTCCAGTCAGAAAAGCATTCTTCCCAACTGCCCTGTCTTCTGTGACCAAATCAATATTGTAGCCAACTTGCCAACTCACCATGGACCCAATGCGACTTAATCTTTTGGACCAGCCTACCGTGAGCGACCTTGTCAAATTCTCTAGTGAAATCAATGTGGACAATATCCATTGCCCTATCCTCGTTAGTCATCTTTGTTACTTCCTCAATAAACTCAAGTTTATAAGACAGGGCATCCCATGCATAAACCCATGCTGATGATCTCTAATGTTCACCCTTCTGTAAATGTGAGTCAATCCTGTGTCTTAGAATCTTGTCCAAAGATTTTATGGTCACTGATGTAAGGCTCATCGACCTTTCTTGGTACCCTTGTTGCCCTTCTTAATCAAAGGAACAACATTGGCTATTCTGCAATCTTCTGGCACCTCATCTGTGGCTGAAGAGGATACAAAAATTTCTGTCAAAGCCTAAGCAATCTCCTCCTTTGCTTACTTTAGTATTCTTGGATAGATCCCATTAGGCCCTGGGGACTTTTCTACCTTAATGTGTTTCAAGACGCCAAACACAATATCCTTCTTAATATTGGCATGCCCCAGAATATTGACATACCTCTCCATAACTTACCATCATCCCTGTCTTTCTCCTTGGTGAATACCAATACAAAGTACTCATCAAGGACCTCATCCACTTCCTCTGGCTCCATGCATAAATTCCCTCCTTGGATGGACCTACCCTCTCCCCAGTTGTCCTCATGCTTCTATTACGTTTATGAAATGCCTTGGGATTGTCCATAATCCTACTTGCCAAGAACATTTAATGGCCCCTTCTAGTCCTCCTAATTTCTTGTTTAAGTTCTCTTCTGGAACTCCTCAGGACGTTGTTTGATTTCAGTTTCCTAAACCTTGCACATGCTTCCTTTTACTTTTTGACTAACCTTTCAATAATGTCTTGTCATTCAAGGTTCCCAAGTCTTGCCATCTTTATCTTTTATCTTCACAGGAACATGCTGGTCCTGAAGTCTAATCAACTGGACTTTAATAGGTTCCCACATGTCAGATGTGGATTTAACCTCAAACAGCCAGTTTGAGGCCAGTTTGAGAAATTTATTTTGTTCTTGCCTAATACTGTCGTAATTAGTCTTCCCCCATTTTAGCACTTTAAACCAAGAACCCAGTCTGAACCTTATCCATAACGATCTTAAAACTTACGATTTTATGATCACTGTTCTCAAAATGCCCCCCCAGTAAAACTTCCATCACCTGGTAGGCTCATTCCCCAGTACAAGGTCTGGTACAGGCCCTTCACTGGCTGGACAATTTACACACAGTTTCAAGGAACCCCCCTGAATGTACGCAACAAATTCTGACCCATCTAAGCTGCTGGCACAAAGGAAGTTCCAGTCGATATTGGGGAAATTGAAATTACCCACGACAACAACTCTGTTGTTTTTAACTCTTCCCATGAACTGCTTTCATATCTGGCCAACTATCTCTTGCTGGCTATTGCGAGGCCTATAGTATAACCCCATCATAGTGATTGCATCCTTCTTATTCCTAAAATCTATTCATATGGCCTCATTGAATGAGCCCACCAAGATATCCTCTTTTAATACAACTGGTACTTTCCTAAATAATTAATGCTGCTCCCCATGGCGTTTATACCCCTCTCTAACTGACCTGAAACACTGTAACGTTGAGCTGCCAGTCCTGCCCTTCTTTCAACAAAGTTTCTGCCATGGCTATCACATTGTAGTTCCATATACTAATCTAGGCTCTAAGCTCATCTGCCATACTCCTTGCATTAAAATAGCCACACTTTAGACCACCAGTCCTGCTGTGTTCATTTACCTGGCTCTGCCTGTTCTTCCTGTTAGATTTTCTTGACTTAACATCAACCTTCTCAATCACTCCAGAAGCTGACCTTCTGATCTGTTTCCCAGCCCTCTACCACACTTGTTTCAACCCTCCAAAACTCTTCGCTAGGATGTTTGCACCCCTCCAGTTTAGGCGCAAGATGTCCTTCTTGTACCAGTGCTACCTGCCCTGGAAGATATACCAACGATACAGATACCTGAAGCCCTCCCTCCTTCACCAGCTCTTAAGCCACCCGTTCAACTCTATTATCTTCCTAATCCTAGCCTCACTAGCACGTAGCACAGGAAATAATCCTGAGATTGGAAGCCTAGATGTCCTGGTTTTCAACTTCCTACCAAATTCCCTTACTTTCCTTTACAGGACCTCAACTCTCTCGCCTATGCTGTTGCTACCCTTGTGGACCACAACCATTGGCTGCTCACCCTTCCCTTTCAGAATATCCTGTGCCAGCTGAGAGACATCCATGACCTTGGCACCAAGGATGCAACACACCATCCTGGAGTCTCCCTGTGGCCAGAGAAATGCCTGGGTGTACCCCTTACCATAGAGTCCCCAATCAATACTGCTCGTTTACACTTCAACTCACCCTGCTGTACGCTAGTGCCGGGCACGGTGCCACGGACCTGGCTGCTGCTGCTTTCCTGAGAGGCTATTCTCCTCCACAACAGTATCCTCAACTCCTCAATCAGAGTGCAACGTGAAAGCCACTCCCCAATCTGTGTTGTTTTACATATAAACCCCTCACCAGAGATCTGTGTCTCTGTTCTCTCACTGTTTTGACACAGGCAGAGTCGCTGAAGAGATTGATGGAGGATTACAAGGAATGGATGGTTCTACAACAATGTCACTTACCTTCCATGTTGATGGCGCCGAGCTGTCAGAGAGCAGAACTCTCCAGGACAACGAGATGGAAAGCGACCATGTAATCGTTGTCCGGATATGGTCCTCCTGAATGCCCAGCTGTGAACAGTGTTTGTTATTGGCTGTCGGGATGAAGGTGTCTGTTGTACATATTGACGACTGACCCAGATCATGCCCCAATCTCGTGACAGTTAGGCAAAACAGTAGACGTTATCAACTTGGACTTTAGTAAAGCATTTGACAGGGTTCCACAGGGTAGACTAATCATTAAAATTAGATTACATGGGATTCAGGGAGAGCTTGCCAACTGGATTCAAAATTGTCTTGATGGTAGGAGACAAAGAGGGGCCATGGAGATTGTTTTTCAGAAGGCCTGTGACCAGCGGTGTTCCACTAGGATCTGTGCTGTGTACACTTTTGAGTGAGAATTTAGGAGGCAAGGTTACTAAATTTGTGGATGACACCAAAATTGGTGGTATAGTCAGCAGTGAAGAAGACTTCCAAAGATTACAAAGTTATTTTGATCTAATGAATCAATGGGTTGAGGAGTAATGGATGGAGTTTTAATTTGAATAAATGTGAAGTATTGCATTTTAATAAAACAAACAAGGGCAGGACTTATACAGTTAGTGGTAGAGCCCTGCATAATCTTGTCGACTAGACTTCCCCAGGGGTTCAGGTACGTAGTTCTTTGAAATTTACATTACAGGTAGACAGGGTGGTTAAGAAGGAATTTAGCATGTTTGCCTTCTTTGCTCACACCATTGAGTATAGGAGTTGGACCATCATGTTGAGGCTGTACAGTACATCGGTGAAACCACTTTTGGAGTACGGTGTACAATTCTAGTTGCCCTGCTGTGGAAGAATATTATTAAATTGGACAACGTTCAGAAGAAAAAAAAAACTATCAGTACGTTGCCAGGACTGGAGGGTTGAGTTCTAAGGATAGGCTGGGACTATTTTCACTTGAGCATAGGAGGTTTGGCTTTATCTTATAAAAGTGTCTCAAATCATGAGGGGCATAGATAAGATCAAAGCCGAATATTTTTTTTTTCCCGAGTGGATGAGTTCAAGATTGGGGGCCTGTTGTAAGGTGAGAAGAGAAAGATTTAAATGGCACCTGGAGGGCAACTCGTTTATGTATAGAGGGTTGTATAAGTGTGGAATGAACTGCTCAATAACTCTGCTGTATCAATAAAGGGAGTCATGACTTTTCTAATAATTCTCAGTTTCACTATTCCACTTTACTTTTTGCCCCGTAACACCTGAATCCTTTACTGATTTTAAAGCAAAAGTTTGTCTCGGCTTGAATAGACATAATGGCCAAGTATTGACAGCCACTGAAGCTGAGAATTCCAGGATAACACCCTCGATGAGAAGAAAACCCTCGACATCTCTGACTTAAATGATTGTGGTTGATTCTTCTGCTGCTTATGGCCCCAGTGCCTCATGGATGCCTAGTTTTGATTCACTGGGTCCTTGTGAAGTATGTCCTACTTCACCATAGGTAGCGGCACATAACACAATTGATGATGTTTTCATGATGGATGGTATTTCACCTCCGCCAGAACTGTGTGCTGGTCACTCAAAGAGATACTGTCATGGACAGATGCATCTGTGGCGGGTAGATTGCTTCACAGGCAGAGGCACTTCATTCAGGATGCTTCCATCTTGTTTCTTCACTCATCATTTTCTGCAGTCCAGCTGCTGTGCCTTTTATCCCTCGGACTGCTCAGTCAATGGTTGTCTTGTGGAGACACTCTTGGTGATGAACTTTGATGTATCACACCTGGATTACAGCGTGTACCCTTGTCACCCTTGGTGCATCCTCCAATTTGTAGAAGAGAAATGATTTATCACTGAGAGGTGCAAGGGAGGGCGGTTAATGGCCATCAGCAGCATGTTTCCTTGACTCTCTTTGATCTGTTACGATGAGATTTCATTGGTTCTGGAGTCATTATTGAGTAATTACAGTGTAACTCCTTTCCCAGTCTATCACACAGTGCAACTACCAATGGTGGTCCTGTCCAGTAAGTTGGAGAGGATATACCCAGGAATTGTGACAGTGGTTCCTGAGACATTGACTGTCAGATCTCATTACATGAGTTTGACGATGTCAGGCTGTTTCTTGATCAATCAAATAGGAAATAATGGTTACATTGGAGAAGGGAATAATAGGTTAAAAACTGAATGGAAGGCATCTATCAGAATGTGTGTTGTATCTTCAATGAGAGAACTTACCCCCTTTCCCCTGCATTGCGGGCAAAATCATGGACCTCTTCATTGATGGGAAGGCAGACAGGGAGGACTTCTACTTCCCCAAGGACCAGAAGTGGAGACCATAATGCCAGACAATGCCAGCCTGCTCCAAGGTTGCCATCTAGGTCAGAACAATCTCAGCCATCTGGAGGAATGCACAGCATGGTAGTGAGATCATGTCCTTCTCCATTCCTCCAACACGGCCAGGAGAGACCCAGTGAGAATCTCACCATTCCTCTTGAGAAGAACAACCAAGAGGCAGTGAGATGATTTCAACATCCAGAGAGGCCTCGCTGAACATTTGCCTGAATTTACCAATAACCTCGCCAAAGCCAAGAATCCACAGGAACAGTTTGAGTGGAGCTTAGAAACATCAAGAAGAAGCAAATGTTAGTTGGATTTGTATATCGAAGTCAAATCTCCAGTACAAATCGTGTGCAAGTTATAAACAAAGAAAAAATACTAGCAAGGGAAAAAATAAAAACTGCTGATGGAACTCTTGAAGTCTGATGGCATCTGTGGGGAGAAAGCAGTTGGTATTTCAACTCTGGTGGTTCTTCAACAGAATAGGTTTTGTTTCAGATCTCCAGCATGCACAATTCTTTGTTTGGTGTATGCAAGTATTCTATATCCTCCAGTATTAATGGATGACTTGTTCTGAAAAAGAGGGAAAGGGATGAGGGCAGAAATGCAGGAGATGGTAATCATGGCTGAAGGCCCTTCCCACCGGGATAGAACTATGAATACTGTACAACATTACAGGTACACGTGGCACCATGAATACTGTCCAAAATAACAAGGACATGAAGAAGTGGGTGTTCTGTCCAAAATAGCAGGGAACATGGGGAAGTGGGAATACAGTGTATTGAAGTTGCCCGTGGATGAAGAGAATTGTTAGCTGAGCAGTGGTTTCCACAGTTAAAATCGTGGTCCCCATGACGGTGAACTGCCTCGTGGAAATCTTAGGGGGAAAGAAAAAAACTTACTTAGTAAAGTATAGAATGGAAGGCAAATTGTCGTAATGCTGAAACTATGAGCATGACTAACAAACAAATGTCAAGGAATTTAGCAGGATTCATTAGAGGAATAATTGTAAGTAGCAAGGGCGAAAAAATAAAAACCTCTATCCGATCACTGGGGGGATTGAAAGGCAAATGGTTTAAACATCAAGGATTGGAGGACATAGAAGACAAAGGGTGGTGGTAGATGGAAAATATTCAGCCTGGAGCTCGGTGACCAGTGGTGTTCTGCTCACGTGTTTCCAGTCTGTAACTTACTCCTGACTATCTGTTTCTCTATATATCATCCACCCCGAACTCCTTGATTATGTTTAAGACTGTAACTCACTCCTAGGTATCTGTGACTCTGTACATAAACCAACTCGAACCCCTCAATTAGATTCCATGCTGCAACTCACTCTTGAACATCTGTTATTCTGTATATAAACTATCCCAAAACCCTCGATTAGATTCCAGTGTGCAACTCACTCCCTGGTACCTGTTCCTTTGTATATAAATTAGCCCAAATTCCTTAATTAGATTTCAGATTATAATTCACTCCCCAGCACATGTCTAAGTGGGATTGTTGGTAGTGTTGGGTTGGGTAGACTTAACACTAAGTTTAACTCTGCATCTCTCCTCGGATTATATCTACCCTTGACATTTTTGATTGGGATATCATCAGGGGAACGTTATTTTGTATCAGACTCAACCTGTTGAGGGAGTGGTTGATGGGGACACTATCGAGGCAACTTTTATCTGTTTCTAACCCCGTGCTGTCCCTGTCCAGTGAGTGGTTGATGGGGACAGTGTTGGGAATCTTTACTTTAGGACTGATGAACAGAAGTAGACCATTCAGCTCCTTGAGATTGGAATTGAGGTTTTCTGGTGGTTTATTTACAGTTAGACAGCAAATTGGTATTTTTAGTATGCACACAGTTAATTTGGATTGTGAGAAAGTGCACAGTTAATTCGGAAGACCTGGGCTCGAACTCAGAAAATGAAGTTTGAAATGAAGACACCTAGCGTGGGGCTCGAACCCGCGGCCCGACGATAAACAGTATCATGCTGTAACAACCAAGCTAGCCAGGCTGGCCACGTTGTTTCCCATTTCACACTGTGTGAAATCCACCTGGAACCTTAATTTCGAGGTGCGAATGGTCATCAACCTGAAGAATCCCAATGTCCCCGTTTATTCATCTCAATCACAAATAATATACTCACATCTTCAACTTCTCAGCTGTTACTCCTTCAGAACATTACAGTGCATTTTCAGCACTGGTTTAGGGATTTTAGTACTTAAGTTCAGAACAGAGGAAGTTTCCGAGGAAGGGTCACCAGACCTGAAAAGTTAACTCTGCTTTCTCTTCACAGATGCTGCCAGACGGGCTGAGCTTTTCCAGCAATTTTAGTTCTTGTGTGTGCATTCGTGCATTGTCTCTATCAATACAATGTCTACAGTGTGGTGCAACTTATAGTTGGGCTTTCAGAATTGTGCGGCCTGTGTGTTGTCTACAGTTATATACTATATACAACCAACAGTATCTGCAGTGTGTAGTGACTGATATTTGGACGATCAGCACGGTGCACCCAGTCTATTGTGTACGATAATATAACCACTACAGTAACGCAATGTCTACAATGTGAAGTGTGTTATAGTTGGACATTCAGCAGTATGCAGATTATGTATTCTCTGCAGGAATATAAGGCCTACAGTACTGGACACCAGATATTGGCACACTTAGGAATGTGCAGCCTGTGTATTGTCCGCAGTACTATAACTTCTACACTGTCGGATGACTGATTGTTGGGCATTCTGCAATGTACAGCCTGTGTATTTTCTGCAGTACTATAATGTCTACAGTTTAAGACGATCAATATTTGGACTTTCAGAACTGTGCATCTATGCATTGTCTACAAAAATGCAATGGGTACACTATTGGATAATTTGATATGTGGACACTCCACAGTGTTCAGCCTGTGTATTTTCTTCAGTAATGCACTGTCAACAGTGTGGGAAACTGATATTTGGCTATTCAGCTGTGTGCACCCCGGGTATTGAACACCCGGACACACAATGAGATGCTGGATCCCTTTGCAGTCTTTAACCTGGGACAGTGCATATTTTGTTGAGACCTGAGACGCGTGGATAGAGACTCATGGCCTTTGAGGTCAGTGTTGGGGCAAATATTTAACAGAACAACCGACTATCCAAACTGATCAGAGGTTGTTTCACCTCATATCCCTGAAATAGAAATATTTCTGTCAGTTGTGTCCACTACCAGGCTTTGATCCCGTTCTTGTATCCCTGAAAATAGATTAGTCTCCAATTGATTCTCACCAACTGTGTTGTCCTTGAAGAGATAGCAATAACAAATTAGCTACCCGGGGCTCTTGTGATACAATGGAAGTGTCCCTAGCTTTTGATTCATGAGGTCTGGGTTCAAATACCCCATCTCTTTATCAGGCCTAGAAAGCACAAAATCAACTTTAAAATGACAGTAATGCTTGGCTCAGAATAACGAATGGCTTGTAATTTTTGGAGGCCATCATTGGCATAACGGAAAGCAGCGACAGTCTGTTTTTTTTAAAATCATTACAATTCTGCAGAGAATTATGCATTTGGATCTTTGAAAGAAGCTGGGAGAGTATGCATGCATCATCACTTCTGATTTCCCGACGGTTCAGCTGTGATTTTCCTTGCTGCATGGCATGACTGAGTGAACTTTCAGCTCCCCTTCACACGGCAGGTTACAGCTAACCAATCTGAAAAACAATTTTCCTGATTTTCCAAATCAGCTTTCTCCCATTTCCCATTGGTGTATATCTACCGATTACTGAATCTCCACAACCTCAATCATTACTTGGAAGTACACCTCAAGATTTACCCTCAGTGATCTGTCATCAATAACTAACCCTCGACCAGACTAGCTGTTACTTTGTTGCTGACATTGGGAGCTGATTCAATGCAATTTGGCTGCCTTGTCTCCCCTTTTAAACCAGTGACTGCACTCATCATTGATTGCATATCTGCCCAGCACTCTGAGACGTCCTGGGTTTTTGGCAAGTGTTGTCGATTACTTTTTTAAAAAAAATTCTGCATCTTTCCTGCTATGTCCCCTCCCCAGCAGCTCACTGTGTTTTCCCTTCTGTCTCTACTTTTTGTCTCGATCTATCTGCTGGAAAATGGGATGAGAGTAATTAGATGCCAGAGTGGACTGGATGGGCTGAAAGGTCTTGCTCAGTACTGTAGATCTCTCTGGTTCTATTTGTGTGCCACGAAGAGGCTCTATCACTATTTCAGTTAAAGCAAAAACAAAATAGGTGAAAAACTGAATGATTTCAACGTATTGCTGTTTGTGCAAATATATTCCTGATATCAGGCTATGCACGTATCCTCTTTCACATCCTCATTTAACCAGCATCTCTACCCATCTACCCCTCACCCCTACACACATACACACACACACACACACACACACACACACACACACACCCACACACACACACACACATGCAGGGACATGCCAAAGTAAATGTTCCTCTTGAGAAGACTTTTAAGTAGTAGAAAATCAGCAATTCTGTGGGAGCACAACATCTCAAATTTCTCCTTCAAGGCACATCGAATATTCATGGTCATTAATTCACTTTATTTGGCTTAGCTTAATTGAAAAACCTTCCATTCCTAGACTTGGGGTATTTTTTCCCCCAACACTTTGCCTGAATAGGTGCAGCTCCAACAACATCCAAAAAGCTTGACACCAACCAGGACAAAGCAATCTGCTTGAATGGCTCCACATCAACAAGCAACCATTCCCTCCATCACTCACAGCCCATAACAACAGTGTGTGCCATCTACAAGATGCACTGCAGAAATTCACCAAAGATCCTTCGAAAGTACATTCCAATCCAATGGCCAATTCCATGTAGAAAGACAAGGGCAGCAGAAAAATAACAACACTACCACATGGAAGTTCACCCCAAAGACACTCACCATCCTGACGTGAAAATATATTGCTGTTCCTTCAGCATTGTTGGCTGAAAGTCCTGGAATACCCTCATAAAGAGCATTCTGGGCCAAACTACAGCATGTGCACCTCAGCAGTTCAACTTGGCAGCTCACCACCACGTTCTCAAGGGCCAGAATATACGCTGACCAGCGGCGACACCCATCTCCCATGAAGGAATTGAAAAGAAAACATAAACTGCACCAGTCCATATCCTCTTTCTCTAATCAAATCATATAGGTATAAAATTACATTGCACGTCCTTTCTTAAGAAAGAAAATTCTGGCTGATCATTATAACGATGGGAATGTGGTGCAATTTGTTACTGTATATCTATGAGGTGGAAGATCTGACTTGAACTAAGAACCATAATAAATAGAAACAGGAGTAGATCGTTTGTCCCACCATGTTTACTCCACTATTCAATAGACATGGCTGATCCTACACACTTTATGTCCACATTCCTGGGTTTTCCCTCTAATGCTTCATTCCCCTGGACCAAGAACCCGTGTATATCAGCGTTAAATATAGACAAGAACTCTTCACCCAGAACCCTCTGTAGTGTGGATTTAAATAAAAGTTTTTCACTGTGGCATTTTGGTGAAGTAAATCAGCACAATAATTCCAAATATTTAATGATTTATAAACCAGGCGTTATCAGTGAAATATAACGTGTAATAGAAGAAAAACTTTTTGTTTATTTAAATAGACAGGAATCCCCCCAAAAAAGAACAAAGTGGAGTGGTTATTAAAGCATTAATATTCGAATGCAGAGTGGAACTTAACACAGACTGTTACAGGAAACCATTTGAAATATATTGAGAAGAATGAAGTCTCAACCATTGGTATTGTAAACATTTTCAAGTCTAGGATAAAGTAACAAAGTCCTGCTTTAAGACTGAAAGGAAAGCTCAGGTAACTCTTCATGAAAAGATAACCAAAGAAAAGTCAAAGCAATAAACTTTGGTCACGATCACGAACTGCATAACACAAATGTGAGTTGAAGGTGAAGAGTCTTATGGAATGTTGCAGGAAGTAGAGAAGATGTTCAGGGAATGAAAACAGATCGGATTCAAAATGACTGAAGACACATGTTGGTCAAAGTATTGAAGAGCACACTGTATTGCAGAAGTTTTGCAGTGATTTCATAGGATCAATTATGAACTGAAAGTATTGTGCAGTTCTTGAAGTGCAATTCCCACCGCAGGTTAATTCTGTGTTTTTATTTAAACAATGTAACAATGAGAGTAAACGGATATTTTATACCATTCTTTAGCTCCTCTCTGAATTTTGTCTGTGTTAGTGCATAAATGCAGGTGTTGGTGCACGAGCTCAAAAGACGGAGCATGAATCCAAATTGCTGAGCAACATATACTGGACCACTAATGGTTTTGTCCAAATAATTATAATTGATGACTTGCCAGTTTAACGAATGTGTAACATATGTCATCCATAAAAGTATAAAATTAGCAGACAAGGCAAAGAGTAAAATAATTGATTTCCTTCGATTCTCCATCTCTGGATCAATATTATCCTGTCCACTTCCATGACACCGGAATCCTCTTCGGAGTCGATTGGCTTTTATAATATTCCTGACAGTTAGACCATTGAACACCAAAATCAAGAAAATAGGAAGTAGCGGTGTTAGAATACTGTCAATCCACTCATATGCTGCCCATAACGGTGAGGTATAATAGTCTGGTCCTTGAATGCAAAACCATGGGACGTTGTCAATGATAATTGATGGAACAAATAAAAAGTACCAGACAGTAGACCTCAAACAGCTGATGACTGCCACAATTACTATCACCACAGTTGCAGTTTTCTCGGTACAATATCTTGGTTTTAGCTTCTGGCAACAAATGGCTACAAACCGATCAAATGTGAAAGCTACTGTGAACCAAACAGAGCAGTCAAGAGCTGCAAGTAACAAGACAGCCCTCACAGCGCATACAGGAGTGATGAACAAGAAAGTGAGCGGAAAATAAATGTTATTAATTCGATTCAGTATGATATTAATGATGACAAGTAGTAAATCTGCTGCTGACATTGCCATCAGGTAACAGGTAATGCATTTGGAGAGGCCACAGTTTCCTTGATATAGGATCACAATCGCCACCAGATTAACTGAAAGAAAGGCAGCAAAATGGGCAACCTTTAGCTGTCAACTCTACAATAATGTATCTTTAGCCTTATCGAATTCTGGATTGCAGCTGTGGATCCATTTGAAACTAATTTATTAAATCTTTCCAGTTCAACATGAAACATAATAATATTTTAAAATATTCACCAGTACAAAAATAGTGTACAAGCAAAGAAATAAATCAAACATAATCAAAATAAATAACAATGGTACTCTGAAAAATTCGAGGTGATAAATAATCGAATTAAAACGTAATGAATTTAAATCGTGCAGTGAGAGCAACTTATTTAATGTTTCACATGCACAAGTTTAATATTTTAAACCTCACGTGTTCAATTCGTGAAAAATAATGTAACTCATTCCCGTTTATAATGAGAGGGCTAAAATTGCAAGGACATATTTCTCTTTATCCAGCTAGGGCATATAAATGCTTACATTTGTCTACTTCCTGAATTTTCTGAAAACGTTAAAAATCCTAAACACCTTAATTTCTTATAGCTGAGAGTCATGAAACTCTCAATGTGTGTTGGTACTATTGTCTCTGTTGCTTTCAATGCTGCGAGATCTTCTGTAGAAGTAATGATCTCACTCAGGAGACGCAGAGCACAATAAACAAGAAAGAAACGGTCAAGAACTGTAAATAAATGTTAGATTAAACTGCAAAGTTAATCATGAATCAATTTTTTCCAATCACATCAATACAAAAAAACAAATTGCTTATATATATCAAAATTGTAGATCATAAAATAAGAAGGAGCAGTAGGCTATTGTATTAACTTAGTCAGCTCAACAATGTATTTTCACCATAACCCTCGATTCCCTTCTGATTAAAAATGTGAGCCTTGAATGTAATTAGTGTCCCAACTTCAACAGCCCTCTGAGAGAGGAAATTCATCTTTACCTCTGCCTTAAATGTGTGACCCCTTATTCTGAGATCATGCCTTCTGGTCCTAGACTCACCCACAAGGATAATCACTTTCTCTACATCTATCCATTCAAATTCCCTACGAATCTTGAAAGTTTCAATAAGGTATCTTCTCATTCTTCTCAATCCCAACAAATACAGACCCAATCTAATCAACCTTTCCTCATGATATAGCTGTATCATACCTGGTAGCAGCTCAGTGAACCTTGTCTGAACTGTCTCAAAATACCAGTCTATCTTTCCTCACATACGAGATCCAGAACTACTCTTTATATTCCAAGGGTGTCTGACTATGGTCTGACATAGTTTGAAGCAAAGTCTTCTTACTTAAAAAATTACAGCATTTATAATAAAATGTATAACTTATATTAGAAACAAGAACACTTTAGAATTTTAATCAATATACTTGTTTCAACAGAGAGTAAATAATTGGTTCAATCATTGCCAGAAAATTACAACTTTCTTACACGACATGCCATATGTATAATGAAGCTCAACAAATGACAAGAGCCGTAACAGCAATTACATATTGAGTCACACGATTAGTTCTTGGATTTAAAGCCTCACCCATGACACCAATAGCTGCAAGAATTGGATAGTAAATACGTTCAATCTGAAAGATCACCGGGTACATAATTTTCTTCAACAGAAGTCTCTTGGTGTTGGAACATTAATGCTATCCACTTAAAAATCATTATGAACCCAAACCCCTGTTATTTATATTAAAGACAAATCTCTATTGAGACAAATAACATTGCTGCACAACAAATACCATTATTGACAATCCTCTGAACTGGCCACCAGGGCATTCTCTAATTGCAAAATTGAGCAGTCGAATTCATTTGAAAGAAATATTGTAACACAGTAACAGAGATCAAACTAAGGGCAGAAAATCGACATGAGGCTGTAAACTTATTCAGATTTTTTGAAGACCATAGACACTACTTAGCTACAACTGAGAACAATGTGAACTCATACATCTTTATGAAACATTTAACTACAGTAATTTTGAACTACATTTCATACTTTCCTTTCAACGTATGTATTGCTCTAAGAGATGCCCAAATGTGGTTTGAACTACATTACCTCCATAAACTAAACCCACGAAGCCCCATTTTCAGAGGATCTGTGACTGCAATATTACAAGAGAGCGACACAGCTGGAGGCAAAGCTCATCATACAGGATCACACTAAGTGGGCAATAATTAGGATAATTATGATACTGCCTGCATCATAAGAAGCAGTTTAAAATAAATTTCGTTTTTGATACTGGAAAAGTTCATTTCAATTCTTCAACACGGCAACAGTGGCCAATAATGCAATACATTAAACATTCAAACCCTCCAGCGACCGTTCACAATCACTACAGCACATTAATAATATGAGGTATACTGCAGAATCCTTTGACAGCACCTTTGAAACTGATTATGCCACCAGCAACAAGAAGTGTAACAGCAGCTCAGGCAATGGAATGCCAGTACCTGAAATTTTCATTGAGCATGAAATTGCCCTCAATTTGGGCAATACTTCCCAATGGTGCATGAGGATCCTGGTACTTATTAAGCTTAGGCTGTCATTAAACACGATGGCTCATGACCAAACATAACCACATTAAAACATAATAAAATCCGAAAAAAATTGATAATTTGTCAAGGAATATTATCAAGAAACCATTGCTTCTCGATTGCTAAATATACTTAGGAGGCAGATACGACAAAAAACAAGGAATTTAGGATTCTGGAGATCTAAAAACAACAGCAAAGCGAGAAATTACTGGAACAAGTCAGCAGGTCTTAAAATATCTGTGGAGAGAGAAATAGAGTTAATGTCTCAAGCCCAATGACCCTTCTTTATAACTGCCTACAGGTGGCTACGGTTGGTATTGATGCCGAAAATGGGAGTGGGGTCTGGGTTGAGTGGAACGGAGATGAATTGATTGAGATAGTGCCCAGGCAGAGAGAACAAAAGGGAAAGCAGTCGAATGGATTGCTAATGATAGATCTGGAAGATGAGCAAATGCATAATTGGTACTACTGAGAAGTAGGAATAGATGAAAATGGGACGGTTTTACTCGGAACAACCTACACAGAAAAATGCCTGAGGGGCTTGGGGGTGGGTACCGGACATGGAGGAAGGTGTTCATGCTCTGAAGTTGTAGCTAACTTCGATAAAATAGTTCAAACACTAATTCACATTTGTGTTCTGGAGTATATCAGGTCAATAATGGCATTGCAAACTAATACTAAATGCATGTACATGGTAACTCAATTGAGTCTGTTTCAAAGTAGGATCTTGTCATAGTGGACTTGTCCTAAAGATAGTGACCAAAAGTCACTATATGGGCTGCTGCGCTACTTTGTGTGAAATTGCACTGGACTCGCCAAAACAGAAATTGACAAAGACATTTCTTGAGATTGTATTGACTGAAGCAAATTGACTGAAGACAGTTATCTGTGATTCTGTATTTCTCATGAAAAGCGTAAAATGAATCGTCCACTCAGCCCTCCCAGTTGAAGATGGATGCATATGCCTCAACTTTGTCTTTCACAACAATATGATGAGCTCCATCATCTTCGAAAATGCAGATATTTAATGCTGCTTCATGTTAAAACTTACGGTAGGACGCATTTTTCCGAGGAAAAACAAAATGACCTGGAATAACATAGGCAACTGTCTTCACATGACAGGCCACGTTGGTGTAAGATCACACACACCTAAAAACCTCTGTGCTGGAAGCAGCTATGACAATAACTAGCAATGGGGAACAGTACAATTTCAGAGAATTCAAAACACAATCTTTTTAAAACATTGGACACCAATGTTACATCAATGCTGTCATTTCACGGAGACAGTACCTTGACCAGACAGATTGACCAACATGACTGCTCCTTAATCTGAATTCGAAAGAGTAAAAAAAAACAAGTTCTTGTATATTGAATGGGCAATTTAATTAAGTTAGATATTATTAATATGGCATAAGTTCACTTGATTGATTCGAGAAATGATTCTATGATAATTCAGTAATTGATGGAGCAGGGTATTTCATCACATTCATGAGCTGTTCTCCAATCTTCCAATGCATAACGGCATTTTTAAAGGTGTTTGTAGTGCAACTCAAACTCAGGAGTATCCTTCTGGCTAGTTCAAATACATGTTCAAATCGAACGTAATCTGAAGAATCAGTTCCTGTAATATTATAATGTTTAAAGTCTGTAAAATTGACAGGAGGATGAAGCTGCCTGATATGGTGAAGAGTAAAATCACTGACTTCTTTTAGGTCTCCATCTCTGGGTCCCTGTGATTATCTCTGACCTCTTGCCCTGACCTCTCAGTCCGTTACGGACTTGACTGATCATTAAAATGTGCCTATCAGAACACTGACCAGTAGAAATAAAACGAATTGATCAACATGATTCAAACCACATCAAACCAATCGAAACCAAACACAATGGCGCAGTATAGAGGTTTAGTTTTACAACACAGAGCCATGGCGAATTTCCAATCATCATCTCAGGTTCACGTGTAAGGTTGTAAGGGACTTTGTTAAAATAGATTCAGCTTCTGGCAACAAATGGCCACAAATCGATCAAAGGAGAAACTTATGGTGAACCAGACTCAACAGTCTGTGGTAGCAGACTCCAGGAAAGAAGAAGTACAACAGACATGGGTGATATCAAGGAAAGACCCTGGGAAATAATATTTTTTTTAAAAACCTGCAAATGCATAATGCTAATGCTAAGTGTAATGGATCAGACCAGAGACCCTCAAAACATTTTAAGAAGATAGCATAGACCCTGACTTTTCTTACTTTAAAGGTAGATGTAAAGTGAATGTTCCAGATGTGATGCAACTAGTCAAAACATAATATATTTAAACACTGTAGTTACAATATAAACAAAAGAAAGTGTACTTTAGAATAACGTAACTATAGGAAAACAACAGAATAATAGACACAGTGCTTAATACTAATTAACTATTCCGATATTTTAAGGTCCCATAAACTTACCCCTTGGCAAAAAAAGTAAATTCAGGCACAAATTCTTACATACTGTTTCCCAATCCAGGAGAGAACAACATCAATAGAGATTTCAGAGAAAGTTACAGTTAGGAATCATTGACTGAATTACAGTGACTCTAACCATGCAAGCATTCATCATACATTCCATTTCATTTCGTTTACTCCAGCCACCGAATGCCTCCACCTTTCTTCATCCAAGTCCAGACAACGTGCTGGCAATTGCATCGTCTCGCCCTGCCAAATGTATAAATTTCAAATTGTATGGATGCAATAATAAACGCCATCCAAACAGTCTAGAAAGTACCGATAGGTATTTCTATCTTCTCGTCGTCTTCTTGTAAGGGAATTGCACTAACACCCACATCACACCCATTAATAGCCATCTTGAATGGCTTTGCATTATTAGGTTTGGCTGATACTAGTGCAGTGGTTAACACAATTTTCAAACTGTCAAATGACTTGTGACCTTCCCCACAATGGGTCCGCCGCCATCGGCCATGAGGCCACTATCGGAGAACCCACAGATGACGTCACATCCGCCACCGCCGGGTTCCCCACTTCCGGGACAGCAAGCACCATCGCTGCCGTTGCCACCGACACTGAAGTCGCGACCACCCTCACCGCTACTGCCGCCGCCTACCCCGCTCCTCCTACCTCCGACGCCGGTCCGCCCATCACCGACGCGGACGCAACTCCGCCCACCGCCAGCGCAACTCCGCCCACCGCCGACACCGGCACAACTCCGCCCACCGCCGACGACGCTCCGCCCACAGCCGACGCTGACGCAGCTCCGCCCACAGCCGACGCCGACACAGCTCCGCCCACAGCCGACGCCGACGTAGCTCCGCCCACCACCTCCACAGCCAGCAGCTCCAGAGGAGACAGCAGCACCCAGCCCTGCCGAGTCTTCACCATCCCCCCAGACCTACCCCTTACTAAGGACGAACGGTCAGTCCTCAGTAAAGGGCTCACCTTTGTCCCCCTCCACCCACAGATCAACGAATACCGCTCACGCTTGGACATAGAGCAGTTTTTCCGCCGCCTCCGCCTCCACGCTTACTTCTTTAACCGTGAACCTAACCCTCCCTCTACTGACCCCTTCTCCCGCTTCCAACACACCCCCTCCTCCTGGACACCACCCCAAGGCCTCCTACCCTCCCTCGACCTCTTCATCTCCAACTGCCGTCGAGACATCAATCGCCTCAACCTCTCCACCCCTCTCACCCACTCCAACCTCTCCCCCGCAGAACGTGCAGCCCTCCGCTCCCTCCGCTCCAATCCCAACCTCACCATAAAACCCGCGGACAAGGGAGGTGCAGTTGTAGTATGGCGCACTGACCTCTACATCGCCGAGGCCGGACGCCAACTCTCCGACACCTCCTCCTACCGCCCCCTTGATCATGACCCCACCCCTGAGCACCAAACCATCATCTCGCAAACCATCCACAACCTCATCACGTCAGGTGACCTCCCACCCACGGCCTCCAACCTCATCGTTCCCCAACCTCGCACTGCCCGCTTCTATCTCCTTCCCAAAATCCACAAACCTGAATGCCCTGGTCGACCCATTGTCTCCGCCTGCTCCTGCCCCACCGAACTGATCTCCAACTATCTCGACTCCATTTTCTCCCCCTTGGTCCAGGAACTCCCTACCTATGTCCGTGACACCACCCACGCCCTCCACCTCCTCCAGAACTTCCAATTCCCCGGTCCCCAACACCTCATCTTTACCATGGACGTCCAGTCCCTCTACACCTGCATTCCCCATGCAGATGGCCT